TTCGACGAAATGAACTTTCGACGAAATGAATTTTCGACGAAATGAACTTTCGACGAAACAAACTTTCGACGAAATGATTTTCGACGAAATGAATCAGACCCGCTAAAATGTATTCCAGAAAATATAGGCAAATATAAAGCTATGGATGTAGGTCAATTGCAATTTTTAGATAGCATTCAGCACATGAATATGGGCCTTGATAAGCTTGTTGCATCTATAGGTAGCAATCTAGAAAAATTCCTCCTAACTATAAAGCATTTTTCCAATAAAGGCTGTTCATTAGACCAAATCAAGTTTCTATTTCGAAAAGGAGTTTTTCCATATGACTGGACCAATTCTTGGGATAAATTCAAAAAAACAGCTCTACTGTGTAGAAAGGATTTCTATTCTCTACTTAACCAGCAAAAAATTAGTAATGGAGACTATGTCTATGCCCAAGAAGTCTGGCAAAAATTTGAAATGAAAACTTTTGGTGAATATCATGATTTATATCTTGAAACAGATGTACTCCTACTTGCGGATGTTTTTATGAATTATACCATTATGTGTTTGAAAGATGATGGCTTAGACCCATCCCATTATGTTTCAGCCCCCAGTATGTTTAATGATTCCTTATACAAAAGTAGCAGGGCCGAAATAAAACTTCTGACAGAACTAGATCAATATATGTTAGTAGAGAGAGGCATTTGTGGGGGCATGTACACAATGTCATTCTGGGGGTTTGAGACAAAACCCGCCATGGTGCAATTCGTGTGCCTAGCCGCTCTGGAAGCCAAAAGAGATATCAGTTTTTTCGAAAGTGGCGAAATTTCTTTTTTAGGCCGTATTTTTTGGTTAGATTTTGCTCCTAAGCGGCCAATTTTTAATTTTTGACCACCTTTGAGAGCGGCCATTTTTCATTTTTAGGCCGCATTTTTACCTCATTTTAGTTCGATTTTTTATTTACATATCAGAAAGCGTCTGTAGACGTTATAGACTGCTTAATTATATAACTATCTTTTTTAGCCGTTTTATTGTCTTCAAAGCTTAAAAGGCTATGCGATCTAAAAAATCTAACCAAAATGCGGCCATTTTTTATTTTTAGGCCACATTTTTGTCCTAAAAAATCTAACGAAATTTATTTCGTTTATCAGGAACATGCTCTGAGCCGTTTTTATCCGTTTTTTTCCAAGG